TATGAAAAAGAGAGTATTAAAGTTAATAACATTATAAAGGAATAATTATATATAACGAAAATTATGATTGAGGTAACTGCAAAATTAATTAGAGGTCCTGTATACTTTTCTGGAGAAGTTATAGAGTGTTTAGTCACATTCAGTAATCCACCAAATCCAAGTCATCAAATATCTCAAAGTCACAGGTACATAATTTGTTTACTTTATATAACACAGTTGAATTTGTTCAATTCAATTATTACATAATGGTTTTAGTGATATCTTTGAAAGTCTCGCATGGGCTAGTGCACAAGTCCACTGTCAATGTTCTACAAATATCAAAATTGTTCGTTCCGAGAAATTGAATACTACAGCTTGCTTAGGAGCTATTAATGCAAGTAAGAAGAATGAGTCTTTACAAATAATTATTTGTTAATAATAATTACTTTTTTTAATTACTTAACCGTGTCTTCACTAAGAAAAACATTTTACAGACACAACATTTGCACCGTGGCAACAAGATAATGGCCATGTAGTACTCAATACTAAGCCCAAGATTTTATTTTGTGACTTAAGATTATCGCCAGGTGAAAATAAAACATGTGAGTTTTTAAAGAAAATCAAGATTTATTGTAACAGGGTATTTTACTAAATTTTGATTATGTTTTAAAAAATGTACGAGTAGATTTGAATAGAATTTAAATATAAAAAATTGTACATTGCTTCTTGTAATGATTGTTAAAGTATAAATTTAATGTGATCTTAAACATTAAAAAGTCTTTTAAAAAACTTTCTAATTGTAAACATTTCAAATGTGTTTACATGATTATAAATGATGGAAACATGTTAAAGTGTACAAAAAAGTGAAATATGGGATGCCTTGTATTAAATACAGAAAGTATATAGTTCAGTTTTCCAGATATATATCGGGAAATAATTCCAAGCGATGCACCGCCGTCTTATAGAGGACATGCAGTGAAATATTCATATAAGATTACTGTAGGAACACAACGTGTTAATACAGCTATAAAATTGCTTCGGGTTCCTTTCAGAGTACTTTCTTTAAGTGGTAATATTTGTTTATTTCGTATTTATAATTTAAGAGCTATATTAATATTCTAATTTTAACAGAACTACCGGAAGTAACCACTTGCAATGATAGTGTTGATTTAAGTCCAAATAATCCATTCATGGAAACACAACATAGAGAAACACCATTAGATGTTGCATTACAAACTCTTCAGGTTTGTGTACAATAAAAATGTATATTATGCAATTAATACTTTTGCGACTAATACTTTTTGTTGTTATGTGTACATAGAATTTGACTGCCAGACGAAGCCCAAATTTTTATAACATTACTAATGGACGTGGACGAATTGTAAGATTTTGTCTCTTTAAAAATTCTTACAAACTTGGAGAAGATATAGTTGGCACATTTGATTTTTCAAATGCGACAGTTTCGTGTGTTCAAGTCTCAGTTGCATTGCAATCAGAAGAACATATTTCAGAAGAATACAGGCGAGGAAAAACAGCGACTCCAACGTCAGTCAGTTACAATAAACATCATGAAATGTGTATGGGTTTAAAATATTCGCATTTGGTGCTCCCTATACCTTTACACGTGACACCAGATTTTACCACTAATTTAATGACACTGAAATGGAGATTACATTTTGAATTTGTCACAACTTCTAAGCTAATAGATATGCCCAATGAACGTACTATTAACTGGCAAGGTCCATTAACCTTGGATGTTGAAACAATGATTTGGGACCTTCCTGTTCATATTCATCCAACAACTACACCACCTAACACAGCACAAGAATCAAAATATAACATTGTGATATAGTGAACTAAAAATTACTTCTATAAGGAAACAAGGAATAACCATTACTTGAAAATGCTTCAGAAAATAGATATATATATATATATACATACATACATATATAAAGTGCGATTACAAGTATAACATTTGTTTAAAAAATATTATAAAATAGTAAGTAAAAATAGAGTATTTATATTCAATCTACCACTATGATTTAATAATATCCAAGTTTTACATCCCTTTAATCAATAAAAATGAGTTAAAACCTATATCACCAATTTGATAACAAAGTTTAGAAAACTATTAAATCTTGCTTCTTAACATGTTTTCTTTCGCCTCTTCTGTAAGTAATTCAATAAAGGCATGAGCCTCTTTATAGTGGGGGTTTGTTATTTGGGCAACCCTTGTCAACCAATTTGATAAGCGAGGTCTTCCTTCACGAGGATCATATCCAGCTAATCCTGTGTTTAATATGAAATTTTGTATTACATTTAGCTAGTAACAAAATTACATCTAATTTTGCAGGATTACTTACGGACTTGTTCTATCTCACATGCTCCAAGAAGATCGGCAATAGCTACTTTAGAACCTGTTAAGAAAAGCTTGTCTTTTAACCAAATGTTTTCCAATAGATCAAGACACTCGATCATATTCTTCTTGCATTTTGCTATCGCTTCAATTGATGTCGGTTTAGATGTTATAAGTGGTATTAAGTACTATGGTAATAATATATTTATATGTTTTACAAATCTTTACATAAACAATCTGTCGATCATTTTTATACCTTTTTCCGAAAGTATAAGCCACAGTGGAACCTAGTGTTCAAATGTTGCCATTCAAGATATTCATCAACTTTTGCTTGGTCCTTTGAATCCTTTGGATACCAATGATCAGCCACAGGAAATTCTTTACAAAGATATCTCAAAATTGCAACACTATAAGAAATGATGCTTTTTACTTGTTTTTGTTTTCATATACATATTTCGTACGTGCCTCATACCTTTCTATTATGTTGAAATCATTATGTTGAATACTAGGAACTTTATTAAATGGATGGATTTTCTGATAATCCGAACTAAGATGTTCCATTTTTGACAAATTTATTACTTTTTTCTCAAATGGTATATTGGATGCCTTTAAAAATATGTACACAGCTCTACTTGGTTGAGACAATAAGTCATAATACAACTTTAAAGCCATATTTTTAGTAAAATATGAAAGTCAATTCTGATATGAACTCTCTGGTATGTATAAGAATATGAACTGGTTGCTTGCTTTTAGGGGCACTGTCCTCCCGCTCCCTCTCTGTAGGATGACGGATGACTACGACGACTACATACAGTGATTCTTAAAATAGTCACAGTTCCAATTTATTCAATTACAATTGTACATATTTCGAAAATTTACTCTGCTATTAGTGTATGTACTTCGATTATAAAAAGACAATATTTATTATTAATATCACGTATTTGAAAACTATAGTTCGCTTAAAAAGAATAAACTTAATATGTACATATGTACGTACATGAATTTTCAGAACCAGTTGATTCAATTTAGTATCCTATATGTACATAATATGAAATGATAACGCATCATTCAATTTCAGGCGAATTACATATATAAATTAAATTATTTCTTTATTACAGATCTATGAGTACATCTTCGATTTATGTATTTTCATTTTTAATATAAAAGTTTTCAAACTTTATTGGAAATAAGGATATAATCTTACCTTCGATTATTCTTGTTTATTTCTATTACCGAATTACTCTGCTAATTCGTACAGATCTTAGATTGCAATTAGAATATCTTATACGAGTAACAATAACAATTTATCTACTTAGGATCGAAAAAAATTTGCACCGGACAAGATGACGAAATTTATCTTTTGGCATCGAACGATAACTGAGATCGTGTGTGAAATTGGTGACAAATGTGATGTTTAAGAAAAGTACGGAAACCAGAAGAAAAAATAAGTTGTATAAAATAAAGCACAGTGTTGTATAAGTAACGAAGCAAGTAGTGACAGCAGCCGGAGGGGAAAAATGGCTGACAGCGAGAAGGAGGAGGCTCACAATCTCGTAAGCTATTTGTCTTTGCCTACCGTTTATCTAATCACTTAGGCGACCTCGTCATTTCACGGTACATGATGATAGTATACCTTATCTATCATTGAACTATTCAACTTGCATCCGTCCATTTTGGTGTACTGTTTCTTCTTGGTTATGTTATCTTTGGTACATTATTACTTTGTTTATTGTTTTTCCAATTATGATACAAATTTCATATACTTGTTATATACTTTCATATACTTCATGTTTCAAGTTTAAATGTTTATAGATGCTTTTTTATGCACACTTGTAGCATTAAAAGGAACAGAATTTTTATTGAAAACATCTTTTCTCTTTCTGTGAAATATTTATAGCATCGAGTTGAAAGTACTTCCATAATTTAAAATTATACAAATTTAATTCGCAGCAGATGGAGTTTGAATGGGTTCTTCACGAAGAAGTTCATTCTTCCTTGTCACAATTGAGGAATATTTTAATGGTATATTTAAAATAATACATCTTTATATATTACTAATAACGAGTGAAAAATATTATTGTCTTTTGTTACTAATGCAGGAATGTGCGCAAAGATTTCCATTAGCATTATTTGGCAATGATCAACATAATAAGACAGACAGATTTATATTTGCTGCCCCTCATGATCAAGTAAAATGCGTAGCCGTTTTAACTGGTGATAGCATAACAAATGCGGTAAGTATTAATACCTATAATTTAGTTATATATATTCAATTAAGCGAGAGTTCTTTATAGGAAGTTAATTTTAAAGTTCAACGTCAACAAAATGTTAATATGAGAACAAGTATACAAAATGAACATCCATGGAAGTTACAACAAATACAAGATGCTGCCAATCACTTGCAACAAGCTATTGCACACATAGACAATGTTGATCGTCATTATCCTTTCAAAACATCGGACGAAGTTATGCATGTATTAGGAAATATATTGGGTTGCCTTCAACGCAGTCGAACAAGTTTAATAGTTCCTAGGAAGAAGACAATCGATGATCTTATTAAAAGTCGGAATATGGTGAGTAAGTGTATATTTCAGGCACCCATAAATGTAAGTCCATAAAACTCATTTTAAATACTACATATACTTTCAGAAATCATTGAATCCAAATCTACCTGAAAATTTGGCTATAAGTTTTTATATACAAAGTTATAAGCTGGTTCTGGCAGTATATCAACTAGAGAATTCACATGGTAGTGTAAAATATGAGACACAGCAAGCAGAATGCAGTGTACCCTGGTTAAATGAAGCTTTAGTATTGCTAACTATAGCACTGCAGCTTTGTCAGCGATTAAAAGACAAGGTTAGTTTAAGTACTTAAGCTCTAAACTTCTTAGTTTCAGTTTCAATACTTTTCAGATCTGTGTTTTCTCTCAGTACAAAGATTTTACTGTGGGTTCTTGTGTTCCTTCTACAACAACATGGTAATCGGAATATAAATATATTAAACGATTATTAGTTGAAGAAATATTTTGTATAAATGCAATGCAATATGCCACATTTAATGCTCTGGTAGCATTTTGGTGGATTTTATTTTGACAATGAAATTTGATTGTGAATAAGGAGTTTATGGAGTGCTTGTAACATTTTCTGAATCATATGCAGTGATAAGTAAAACTAAACACACTTTCAACATTTTTGGAAATGTATTAATTTAGACTTAATATACATATAGTCTATAGTATCGGAGATCGTTTGCTTCTGTTATAGCATACGTTCGTTGGGGTAAGTTTTATAACAGTAGTCAGGATCGATTCCTTACCATTCTTCTTGAATTTTGATCCAAAAATTATCAACGTTGATATTATTAAATGAGTTCACAAATTTTCAATTGTATTTAAATTCAGACTCTATATGTTTTGTATCTCGATTCCGCTAGAGTGTCACTTTGTCGTCGAGATAAGGCAAGTTCTCTATCATTTCCAGTAAATGAGATTGTAAAATTAATTTGTAACAACTTCAACTCGATGTATTTTATCTGTTACATACAATGGCATACGTTCCCATATCATGATTGAGTCGGTATCGTGTTTTAATATCACTCTCATGTGTTATTGTTTAAGACTTTTCTTTGTTTCTTCCAATATCAAGTTTTACTATCTGACAAAAATCAATTATAGTTCAATTATAGTTTTTCAATTATAGCGCACCTTCTTAACATTTTCCTTAGATATTATATAGGTTTCTCTTCTTTTCATCGCACATATAACTATGGATTTCTTAATTTCTTTATCGTCATCTACTTGCTAATCAATCTCCCTGTGATTTCCTTTTAAACCTTCGCCAACACGTGAATATACCTGTACAACAATCTTCTATCTTGTGCTGTTGGTGATTTTGGTAGCAATGCTTTTCTTGATTTCATTAGACACGGGTCTCGTTTGTTTAAAGAAAATTTACAACAATACTTTATGGATCTCACATCTACTATTGCAAAGAACTAGTATGAATATCAACAAAGATTAATGCAAAGTTGAGTTAAAAGATTTATTAAATTCAAAAAGATACAAAAAATAATTAAGGTCTTGAAAAATAGCATATAACACAGATTCTAATACAATGTTTGACACAAAACAGAAATTGTTGCAAATTTTGTAAAGTGTGTTGTATTTTGCTCATCACTGTATGTATAAAATTTTGAGAAATTAGGGACTACTGTACACATTGGTACAAGTTCTATGATCCTTCTCTACTTTACTATACAGTGATTCTAAAAGTATTTTGTTAGTAATTTTATGTCGACAATTATGGAATTATTTTATCTTTTAGGTACTATCTTTTTGGTTCTGTTTAAAGATCTTCACTCTAATAATTACTGGTAACTGTCGATTGTTATTCAATTGACTAGCAAAATAGTTCAGTAATATATATATATTATTCAGTAATATATATACTATATTTTCTGTGATCACACATTTGGAATGTTATAGTAATCATTTCCTTATTGGA